AATATTTAAATATTTACTATTAGTCATCATCAGAATCTATAGTATTTTCAGAATCCCAATTATAATCATCTTGACCAGAAATTTAATTATCTATTTCTTCAATATTTTCTACAATTTCATCAGTTTCTAATAACAAATCTTCAGCATTATCTTCATCAGAAAAATTTTCTAAATTATTAATTTAAGTTTCATCATTTAAATCTAAACTTGTTTCTAAAAATAAAACTAAATCTTCTGTAGTTATTGTATTAATTTTATCTAAATTTAAATTATTAGCTAATAAGAATTCATCTTTATCAAATTTTTCTTTTTCTAATATTGTTTCAAAAGTTTTAATATTTGTTTGACTTAATATTTTTAAAACTTCTTTTTTAGTTATTTCATTTGCAAAATATGAAAGTTCTTTTTTTGTATTAGAATTATAATATGTACATAATTTTGCAATTGTTTCTAATTTTTGCATATTCATTTGTGTTCGCTTATTACCAGTTAATCAGTTAAGCAAAGAAAAATTTCTTTCATATAAAGTACTATTTAAAACAATTGCTAAAATCTTTAAAGCTAAATCTTAAAGATAGGTTAGTTGTAGTTCAAGTGAATTCTACCAAGTTAAAGGAATGTTATATCATTGTGCATATAGAGCATTATAAGGATATTTTTTTGTTTTATAAAGTCGAAGATGAGTTACTAAAATATTATAACTTGCATAATCTTTTCTATATTTTTTCCAAATAAAGCTAATAATTTTAATAATTCTAGTAAATTATCTACATTTAAATCCTAAATCTAAAATATAAAATAAAATTAAATATTATTATTTTTAAATTTAATATAAATTATACTTATTTCAAAAATTTGGTATTAAAAAATATCCTAAAATATATAAATCATTATCAAATTCTTTAAATCGTTTATTTAATATATTAAAACAATATTGTCAAAATCCAGTATATTGTTTTCTTGGTAATTTTTTAATTATTGCATTTGTTTTAACTAAACTTAAAAAACAATCACCAAGACTTGCATAATTACTTTTTAATAATAAATAGATTTTTTTAAAGATAATAATATAAAATTTAATACTTTTAAATAAATAAAAAAATTATAACAATTAATAATATTATTAATCTGATCATTTGTTAATATATTATCTTCAACAATCTAAAAATAATAATAATTAATATTTAATAATATTAAATTATATTTAATAATTTTAATGACATACTTTTTTTAAAACTTTTTCTAAATATAATACACTTTCAACTGTTTCATTTGCAGTTGCCATCTAGTTTTTAAATAATTTTTAAGACCTCCACCAGTTATATTCATTTTTTCTATTAAAAGTCATAATTCTGCTCTTTTAATATTGTCATATTCCGGAAAATGTATCTTCTAAAATTCCCTATTTATAGGGTAGACGAACATCTTTCATGTAACATCAGATGAATCAGTACTCAAAAGAGGCGTTGGATTTGGGCGAGTACTAAGAGTAAGTATTTCTTTATTAGATATACTGTGAGACTTGCTTTTATTACATTATAACTGCATTACTTATATACTTTTTCCCTATACACTATATCTACTAATTACGCTCTATATGCTATATTTACTAATTACACTGATTACGCTATATCTACTAATTACACTCTATATACTATGTGCTATAATAATTACTATATATTATTACTTTATTATATGATGTAACTTAAATGAAATATCGATAATCCTATTTTGGATTATGACAATATATAAAATTATAAAAATAATTAATATAATAAATTTAAATTATAATTAAATTTAAAAAAAATAAAATATAATTAAATTTTTACCTGCTCTATATGAAGATTTAAAAAAATTATATAAAATATTACATTTTTTAATTAATTTATTTGCCCATTCAAATTTTAAAATATCTTGTGCAACTAAATTAATTGAATGTGCTATACATCTTATACTAAAAATATGTGGATGTTGTATTGAAATTATATCTTGTGCAAGCTTTATATTAGCACCATTATTACTAACAATAGCTGAAAAATGTTTATACCAATAGAATCTAAAACTTCATTAATTTTGTTAGCTAAAAATTCTCCAGTATGTATTTCATCAGAATAATTACAAATCTTATATAAATATTCTTTTCATTCAGGTGTAATAATTATAAAATTCCAAACTGAATAACTTTTTCTATCAGTCTAATCATCTAATACTAAATTAAATTAATTAGTTATTATTTAATTTTATTTAAAAAATATAAATTAATTTATCTAAAGTCGAATTTGAATATTGTTTAAATATATTATTAGTTTTTTAATTAATAAGAGCTAATTGTTGTTTTAATAAATAACCTAATAAAAATTGTCATGTTGGTAAATTATAAGATAAATTTGTTTTTTTTAATGCTTCAATAAAAAAAGGATTTTTAATAGTATACCAAGGAATTCCACAAATAGCAAAAGCTCTAATCCAAACAAGATTAATTCTTTTAATTTTTTGTTGATCTAATTCCATTATACTAACATATTGATCAAGATTTCCTTGAATGTTGCTTTTTTTTTTTTGTTAAAAATATTTTCTTCAGAAGTATTTGAAAGAATTCTTATAAGAAATTGTCTAATAATCTTTGGATCAGTTTTTGAACAATGATTAGCTAAATAACTTTCTAATTCAATTGGTTTATCATGATTTCAAGATGCACTACACAAATTATATATTGCCTGATATCTTCCTTTTCTTATTTTTTCTCTTTTAGTAAAATAATTTCAAACTGGACCTTCTAGATGATCACAACTTTTTTTTTTATCTTTAGTTATTATTGAAGTTGATTCATTAATATTTTCTTTACTAAAACTCATTTTAAAAAACAATAATTGCTAAAATACAATAAAAATTAATTAATTATATTTTAATAATATCAAAAAAATTAATATAATAATTATATATAAATTTATAAAATTTAAATATTATTAAAATTCATTAAAAATAATTATATT